AAAAATCTTTTTTTCTCCGAAAGGGGAAAAAGGAGGGGGAGGGGGGTGAACAATGCTCAATCAGAAAGACAAGAAACGGTTATCATTTTTCCCATATTAAGAAGAAAAAATCGCCAACTTGAAACAGTTTGCACAAATACTCATTCAAAAGTAAATGAGTACTAAGAGCAGTTGACCACACATGAAAACAAACTTTCAATGGGTTATACATGACAGAATAAAAACAAGCAACTCACACATGATGATGTTTCCCCACTTACCAAGACACAAACAGGAACAACACAGTGAGTTATAAGGGAACATGCACAGGTTATAATTTTTTCCAGAGGCAAAAATAGCTAGCCCATAAAGAGAAAAAAGAACAATTCTGAGAAAAAGTTCTCAACAACACAAAGTCAAATAACACAAATATATTAATTTAAGCAAAGAAATAGTCCCTTTCGACACACCTGTTTTAACCATACTGACAAGATGTCATAAAAGCAGTATTTAAAATGTGTACAAATTATGAAACAAAGAACTATGGTAAGAGAGAAAAAGGATAATTTTCATTCACACAGGTGGGGGGTACCAACTGAAATGAAAATTCATGGTTTAAAATTGATGGATTCACAGATAAACTGACGCACAGGTTTTGACAAATGTAATCTGTGGTGGAAAGATAATGACATTTCCAGAATAAATAATGATAATCTAATCTTTCAATGACTTATTGTATTGTCACACAGATCCATTAAAAAAAAAAGGGATTGTATACATGTCAACTCCACTGCAAGTGCAAGTGCTTGTATTATATTTCAATGGGATAGTGTTTGACCAAAGGCGTTCCTCTTTTAAGACAAAGTACACTTCTAGTGACCAGTAAATGCTTTCTGGATTAGAAAGCAGAGAGAAAAAAGGTGGCACACCACATAGCTTATATAAAGTACTAGCAAGAAAAACAAATTTCAACACATAATTTTCAAGGTAATAAAAAAATAAAACAAGGATTCAATTCTCAACAAGCCAAAATGGAAGAATTCATTATTTCAAAGTGTACAGAGTAGAGGCAGACCTTTACTATCCCATCCATAGACACTGCATTCTCAACTCATTCTCGAATTCTCTCATTCTTGTTTTACCTGAAATTTTACCACCTCCTAGTGTCAAAGACAGTTAATGATGACAAAGCTTAATTATCTTATCTCTATCATTCTAACCAGTGTATACGGTCAGGACTGAAATTCTGAAATAACTCAGAGATCAAAGAAACCTTTGACAAGTTAAAAAGTAGATGTCAGAGAATATTCACTTCTGAACTGTTCTCCTTCTCCTTACATACATGGCTACAGCAACTCAGTGTGCTTTCTCATTCTTCACAATAAAATTAGAGGACCCCTCAATGACAATCTCAGCTATCAAGATTTGGAATAGCAGGTTCATAATAATAGAAACTTCCTTAAATAGATCCTCAAATTTGGTCTCTTATAATAATAAATATCATGTGTGTATACAAGTAAAAATGTTTTGTTTTATAGCAGGTGAAAATGGCTATTCAGTGGTCAAACTATTATACGACCCTATTCAAAACAAATGGATAAATAAGATAGCAGAATCATTTTAAGCAAATGAAGGAGAACCACCAAACACAACTAATTGCATCCACGGTAGGCTTAGTAAATTGTAAACCACACACACATTTTATGTACCATAAAATGTGAGCAGGGGAGGGAAGAAGGTGGTGTTTGATGCAAATCCAGTCAATGACTTAGTATGACATATGGTCTGGCACCACATAATAACACTGTCTAACCCTGGGTGACGAGACATGTAACTGTAATGAGGGAATAAAAATTGAATGAGAAGTTGGCACTGGGAGCTAGATCCATCGAACATCTCATGTATTCCTTTTCCCGACAGTGACAACTTCTCATTCAATCATAATAATTAATACAATTTCATCATGAAAATAATTGTAAACCCCAGAGCACATTGTATGTAGACTGTAAAGCGTATTTAAAGCAATTTTAGTATGTTATTACTTTATTACCTCTATGCATCTCTAATTAATCAAACGAAGTGACTAGCTGAACTCGTCCTTAAGTAGCCTACGGCTAACCTGCAGGTCTAGCCGGTCTTAGATAGAGGTTTGGCCCTATTGACCGAAACCTGTCAAGTACACAGGTGTCATAGATCTAGATCTAGTAAATTATTCAGGTTAAAAATACCATGCATGTCAGTAAGGCACCTTTTAATTTCGTCTGAAATTATACAAATACTTAGGTATTGCAAACTAAAATTCAGCCATCATTATTAAGTACGGCTAGCCTGCCAGTCTAGCCCTCCTTAAGCACGGCTAGCCTAGCCGTCTTTAAGTACGGCTAGCCGTCTAGCCAAGCAGTCTAGCCATACTTATTTTAGGCCATTATATTTGTTGAGTACACAGATGTAATTATATCATTCAATTCAGGTTTAAAATATGCACTCAGTAAGGCACCTTTTGGTTTCATCTCAAATGCCACTTTAGGTAATTTGCAAACTAAAAATCTTATACAATTCAGGTCTTGAACTTGACACGTCTTGAACACTCAAAATCAAAACAAAACAGGCCATCCAAACTTCTCTTCAGACTGATAAAAATATGCAAATACTCAATGAATAATGAAGGCATGAGAATAAAATGTTACATCTGAGTCACGACGTGGTGGATCAGGTGCTCGTCAATTTTTGGGTGGGGTTATTGAATCTTAAAGCCTGTTCATTTGCCTTCCTTTTAGTGAAATAAACGTCCATCTATGTTGAACAGAAGTCAAAGTATTTTGATTGAAGGAGGTCAGGGCCGCCTTGTTTCAGAGGCAAAATTAGCGAGAAAATGGCCGCCAGTTTGGTAACTTCCATAGCCTGAGAGTCCGTGAAAACTGAAAATTTACATTTTTTTGTGCCTTTAATCAAGGTTTTCAGTAAAATTCCAACAGAAATGATTTTTAAAATGGACATAAGATGTTGACACCCCCCCCCCCCCAAAAAAAAAGTGTAAATTTCTTTGATTCCACTATTTTGACGAGCACCTGATTCCCTCATGATGCATAATAACAAGCTAGCCTACAGTACAGTCATAGTCACAAAAAGAGGACTCCCCTTTTTCAACCAACTGCACTACAGCCTTGCAGCTCTGAAAACAACTGCAAGTGACAACTTTCCTTGCCGTGAAAGCTGCTTAAAATATACACCAAAAAAATTTGATAGGTTCCGTAAAATTTGCCCTCAGGGTTTTACGGCTGTGAGTGAGTGTGTGTAGCCACTTGACTATGGATGATAAACCAATTACACAAATCCTGCAAATGTTCGGTAAAGCCTCGTTCCCCATGGTTGACCCAGGCAACTTCTTCAAAGAGAGGAACTTGCAACACAGAAAACGCTTGAAGAATTTAAAAAACCCAATCTCCTGCTGTTGTTGTTATATATAAAGTTTAAAGGCGAAATATAAAAGCTAAGTGCTCGAATTATCAATAGAGGAAAAAACTTTTTTCCCTTTGTAAGTGCCGTTATCCCTTCTATTTTATTAAATTATTATACTGCCTCATGGACTCATGTTATAGTAGAGGCCTACTATACGTGTGCTGCAGACAAAAATCTTTCCCCTCACCCAAGGCCAAACAATGAGGAACGAGACCAGGAAAAAGGAGTTCGTTTTAAAATGAAATCAGTCAGTGGGACCCTTAGATTTTCTTTGACAGCCATGTTTTCCGTCAAATAGTGAGGCCTAAAAATTGAGAAATTTTCTTTTCTTTTGGTGTATTGCGGTTTTCGTGTTAATAGTTAAGTTTTTTAAGGGCACTCCACTGTACTGTAGTAGCCTACAGTAGGCCTATATTTTTATAAGTTACACATGACATACATTATTTCTCAGCTCTGGGTGCCAGCTGTAACCTACACAACACAATTTATTTATCGGCGTTTATTTATCGAAGTGACTTCTATTCGGACTGGAGTCCGAATAGGAAAAAATGTTATTCGGACTGATTCTTGTCCTGCATGACATCACTTCCGACTTCCTGTGACTCGTGACTCCGGCTTCCTGTCCTGCCTCACTTGTGACTCGCCTCAGGCTGGGTAGAGACCGGGATCACTTAGGGCAAAATGGCGTTTTGTGCAGGAGCCGAGTTTTTATCTTTTAGATGAATTTGAGGCTGGCCAGAAAAGTTATAGCGCTTCTAATAAATGTTCATTTGTCAAGAAGTCACCAGAAGCAATTAAAGATGGCTCGTTAGTGTGTGTCGGGGTCGGATAGGCGGCCTGCACACATGTGCGGCTGTGTGTGCGTGTCGGGGAGGGCACTATCGGTCCGGGCGTTGAACGTCGCATACGCGCGCCAGTCTTTTATCCCCCGGCAACTGATTATTATTACAATAAGCTAGTCTTGACGTAGATCTACTAATGAATTGTGCGCTGGTCTATGGAATCAAAAGTTGCCGTGTATGCTCGGTTTTACACAGCAACACAAACTTTTTCTTGGTGTAAACAATCGAGATGACACAGGCTTGTGTATTTGATTTTGAACGAATCAGTCTTTTTTTTTTTACACAGCTCATGTGTAGGTGCCAGGTGGTGTCTGGTAATCTTCAATTTTACCTTTTTCTACAACAAAGAAAGTGGGAAACATGGGGGGTGGGGGGCGTATCAATGAGGCGGCGGGCATTGGATCGGCAGATAAGGTGTGGGGGAAACTAAAAAATGGCGGAAAATTGGAAGCACTGAACTTTAGATCTATACTATAGAAGGAAGACACTTCCTTTTTTCGGGACCTGAGTCCGAATAACATTTTTTCATATTTGGACTGGAGTCCGAATAAGAATTTTTTTTCATTCGGACTCGAGTCCGAATATGAAAAAATGTTTTTTGGACTGAGTCCGAATAATGACGGCCATTAAACACAACAAACCATCACCAACGCATGGACTTCACAGCTGCTGAAATAAAGTCAAAGGAACAAATTAATGAGAGATTATGAAAGAAATTACCTCGCCAGCATAGCTGTATTTTGCCTTGATTATCATTCTGTACAATCGTGTCCTATTTTCGTCATCAAAAGGCATAGTACCACTGAGAAGAATGTATGTTATCACACCTATTGCCCACAAGTCCACTTGGCAAGTATATGGTTTCCGTGCAAGAATTTCCGGGGCGATATACTCCGGTGTTCCGCAAGTGGTCCTCATATAATTGTCTGGGCCCTTGAGCATTGCGCTCAAGCCGAAATCCGTGATCATAATTTTGGAATCATGACCCGGGTGATAGTAGAGTAAGTTCTCTGGTTTAAGGTCTCGGTGCGTGATGCCAAGCTCGTGCAAGTATTTCACACCGTCCAGCACCATCGTAAGTACTCGTGTAGCATCTCGCTCTGTAAAGCTACCTTTAGCGATGATGCGATCGAAAAGCTCGCCCCCCGTGGCTAGTTCCATTACCATGTAAACTTTTTCTGGAGCTTCGAAAACTTCGACTAACTGAATTATGTAAATATGCTTCACTCGTCGCAGAACATTCAGTTCTGCTTCATAAACTTCTTTCCCTTGAATCCTATCAATCATTTTGATAGCATACGGTTGTTTAGTCACTCTGTGCTCCACTCTCACCACTCGACTGAAGCTCCCTCGCCCTATTAGGGCTTTGATATCATATTTTGCAGTAACTCGTGGATCGAATTTATCACGGTACTTTTTCACTTTTTTATTCGTCCTCGGTCCTTGCTGGCCCTGATTCTGACCATCAGGACCTGCGTTTGGAGGACGACACGTTGAATCTCGCGGCCTGAGATGAGTCTGTGGTTTGATATCGGCATGTCGGTTATTCCTGGTTTTTGCATCTTGTCTGTAAACTGTTTCAACCAGGTGTGCGTTCGGTGGGGCTTCTGGCACCAGTTTGGTGCTCATACAACCCATAGCGAGACGAAACTGTAGACGGGCTCTTGTGACATCCCTTTACACACACAAGAGGCACCACACAACAACACACGGGGGTAAATCGAGCACAAAAATGTACCGTTATTTCCGGATCCACATGGATTCCTCCATAGTTTTTCACACAAACTTGAAAAGAGCAGGTGCGATAAACAAAAGTGCTTCCGCGGCAGAATATAGTTCCCAGCAAAACTCCTTCTCCGTGAAAAGTCAAAGAATAGAAGAGTTCAAACACTAGTGCACTAATGAAATAAATGTTGCTGTTACCAAATGTTAGGTTGTGATAAGACTTTGAAGAAAAATATTTGCCTTGTACCACAGCGTACTGATTAGAAGCAGCTCGAAAGGCGAGAGCCGAGCACTTCTTTGTAATACGGTCAATGCTGACACGTGATCAATTCATGACGTCACATGTTGTTATAACAACTAAATCCGCCAGCGCTGGTTCCATTGTTGATATCGGAAGTCTGCACTGGTTTCAACAAGGCTTCCGATAATTTGTAAACCCCTTAACCCTTGAACACTAATCTTTTAGCAGTCGGTCGTTTACATCTCTGGCGAGAGTTGCGGAATAGTAATATAATCATTCTGCACTTCGTTCTCAGCAAAGGCCTAGGCTATGGCATCTGGAATTTATAAGTTCACAAGATCACTTTTAAAAACAGCTGGAGCGGGGAAACAAAATCTTTAGGCATGGGCAGGGTAATGCATTGTGTATTGCTTTTCGGATTCCCTGATATTGTGGTTGGATTTAGATCTATTTAGATTATGATCCGAGGCGGAATGTCAATTTCGTAATCCTAAAACAAGATCTAATTTATTCCACAATAAGAAATAAATTAGTCCCCCCCTGTTTTTTTATATTTTGTTGTTGTTGTTGTTGTTGTTGTGCCACAAGCACCCGTGATACAGCGCCACTTGCTAACAACTTCACAAACAATTTAGCGAAAACGAAAGTAATAAATATGGAGAAAAGCAAACAAATCTTTTGAGTGACCATGAGTAGTCCATGATTCAAAAAGCAAAATTAGACAACTGTTTTCGAATATTTTGAGCTTGTCACTTGTCTGTCCCGTACTCTCTCTCTCTCTCTCTCTCTCTCTCTCTCTCTTTCTCTCTCTCTCTCTCTCTCTCTCTGTATTCTC